TTAAGAATAAAAAAGTCAATTAACAGTTAAATTACTGTCTCCACAGTTCAATAACTGCTGGAGACAGTAATTTAGCAACGAGTACAGTAATATTAATTATAATATTTTTGAAGAAAAAAAAAAGTCAATTAACTGTTAAATTACTGTCTCCGACAGTTAAATAACTGGCGGAGACAGTAATTTAGCAGCCAAGACAGTAATATTAATTAAAATATTTTTTTAAGAAAAAACAAAATTATAAAAAAAAAAAAAAAAAAAGGCCAACGCCGGAGACCCGGCGGTCAACGGCAGTTGACCGGCCGGAAAAAAATTTCAGGAAAAAAAAAAGTCAATGCCGGAGACCGCCGGTCAACGGCGGTCTTCGGTTGTGGCGGGTCAAAATTGGGGTCAAAATTGAAATTAGGGTTAAAATTGGGGTGTAAATCATGAAATTGGATTGAATTGGGTTTCAATGAATTGAGGGTAATTTTGGTATATGTAAAAGAGATTTTCCTTATTTGCAAATAAGTTTGAATGGAGTGGATTTATTTGAAAGACAAAAAAGTTGGATGTCCATCTTTTAATTAAGTGCCCTTGTCATGGGCTTATTTGCCATTACCCCAAAAAATAATTGATAGTTATTTAAAGAAGTGCTTTTAAAAAAATAACAACCATGGTGGTGGTTGCAAAAGCTTTTACAAATAGATTATGAACTTTTTTGTTCATCATCTATTTTTAAGTGTTTGCAAAAATATATTTTTGCTTTTATTCTTCTTAAATAAGTATTAAGCCATAAATTTGTTAGGGATGATTAGTGAAAACCCCCAACTCGTTTTTTTTTTTTTTGATGGACAAACCCCCAACTCATTTACTTATATTAAGTTGAATATAATAGTCTTTTTCAATATTAGTGAGAACCGTACCCCCTAATTAGTTAATTAAATAAATATTTATTAAAATTTATAGCATTCTCTCTAATTTACTCTTCTATCAATAATATATAAATTACTTTTTCCACCTAAAATTCTAATCACATAAATTCATCGTCTCTTTTTCTCCTATTCTCTCTTCTTCCACAGACCTTCGCCTCTCTACCTCTGCGCCGCCGCCGTCACTCCGCCAACGCCGCTCACGATCGGCACCATGGTATTTACAGATCTCATCTTCCTCCACTATGCCCTGCAAATTCTCCGAAATCTTGAAACTAGCCTCGTAGTAGATTTCATTGTCTTCACTTCCTGACCTTCTTGCATGAAATTTTATGGTAGGTTTCTCCGTTTCCGTTTCTTGAAATAAAAGAAACGCAATATTTAAATCTTGATTAAAAAAAATACTTGTTAATCAATAAATAATTATAACTACTAGAGGTACTAGATCATAAAACTTGACAAAGAAATTAATCAGGTGGTAACAATATATATATATATATATATATATATATATATATATATATATATATATATATATATATATATATATATATGAAAGAACATATATATATATATATATATAGAAAATATATGCTTTTTTTTACAATTAAATATTTTGAAAGAACAATTTATGTAGTTATTACATAAATATATACTTTACATGATATATTAATTAAACATGTACTAATTTTTTGTTGAAATTATGGTCAGATTGAGATAATATAAGTTTGAAAACATGGTTTAATAAATTAGTATTTTAATATAATAAGTTGTTGACAGAACATCATATTTCATGACAGGTCATGCATGCATGTTATCATATTTCTTGTTTGGTTATTTTATTTTCAAACAATTACAACTTTGTCATCAACTTAAATTGTACTTTACTTAATATAATATATTAAAACTGTAGTCAATTTGCATTTAAGATCAGGTGGAAAATTATTGAACAACTCTAGATCGAGTCAAAACACTAGATTAATTATGATCGATCAGTACACTTATATGATTAGCTACGTTCCTTTATTAAAAAAAATGACGGCAGATTAATTTGGTCACTTTAGATCAAAGAAAAATATATATATTTAATTTTCATACAATATCAAGCAAGCCTTATAACCTACTCTGGCGACACTAAGTAATGTTTGGAAGTGTTTTCAATTTGTTTTCATTGATTCCCCAAAATAAAATTATATTTATTACACTTCTCAAATAATTTTCTCAAAACAATCTCAAAAGTTTCTCTCTCCTTCAGATATGATGTGACTGCTACAGTAAAATGATTTGACTGCTACAGTAAAAAATGTCTTCACTAAAAAACAAATAAACATCACTTCATCTTTCAATTTTTTTTTCTAACATACTTTTTAATTTCTAACACTTTTAAACATAATGTGACTGCTACAGTGTATTTTGTCTCCTTTCAAAATATAAACAAACAAACATTACTTTCATTCTCAAATTCTTCCCCCAAAACATATTTCCTCAAAATGAAATCAAAATAAGTTCCAAAACGCTTCCAAACATTGTCTAAAGTTGTGCTATGTATACACAATTAAAACTGTATATCCAAACGTTGCAAATGACGTATATACGATAAGTAACGTCCATATACTATAAATGGTGCACTTCCAACGTAAAAAGATGCACATACGGTGTACGAGCGAGGAATTCTAGGGTTGGGTATGCTTCTCATGCTCATTAATTAGTACACAAGAACTGATCATAAACCACACTATATGTATTTCGTGTACATACTTACGATGAAGCGAAGAATTATCTGATTATGTCGGGGTCGTTTCGACGGTGATGAATATCGCCTTTTTTGAGTAACAATAATGTCGAGGATGTGCATATTCAATATCAAATGCATCTACACCATCGTACTCACGCCTTCGTCGCTCGTCACCGACATATACATTCTTTCACGTGGGCCTAGGTAGTAGGTACTGAAGAACCAACGAATCTGGATTTGTAGTTCCACACTTTTCTGCTACTGTATCAAAAAGCTCATTGAGAGTCTCATTACTCTTGATTGCATCCAATGACAAAGAGCTAATGATTATGGTGGCGACAACATCCTAGCACTTCAACCAAGGGTTGTTGACTATCACAAGATACGTCCATTTTTTCAGACATGGGGGCAGATAACTAAATGGTAGCGATGTAGATGGGCGGAACTATGCTGGCGCGAAAAGGGGCCAGAGGTTGAGCATGATCTTATTTTCAATTTTTTGTTGTAATTTTGGGAGGATTCCGACATGTTTGGAAACTATAATTATATGTTAAGAGGATGTATAATGGTTGTTTAGTTACATGTAAAGATAATATGGAGAAGAAAAAGAAAATATAAAATCATTTAATGAAGGGCATTGTAGACATTTCGGGTAAGTAAGGAGCTAACTGTAAGCGAAACTTAAAAGGAGGAGCGGGTATAATTACATGGATTGTCTAGTATATGAAACTAGACAAAAGGGATTTATGAGTTACAACCCCTATTTAATATTCATGCGTGGTACTTATGGAACTTTCAATTCAAAAGATCGAAATCGATTGAGCTGGACAGTTGGTCCAAGGAAGAGTAGTTATATTTTCAAAATTGGGAATGTATTTTTCTTCAAACAATGATTTACAGTTATGGTGTCAAGGTTATCATCTTGAGTAATACAATTTAAAACTAATCGAATTTTATTTTTTTTATTAGACCAAATTAACAAGAAATGAACTAGTTCGACCAATAGATGTCATATTTATCGAAGATCATTCAAGGTCAGTGGACAAGCTCGAATGCTG